CAGCGGTTGTGCACGCTTCTACGACGACCACGACAAGACCGTTGTTTGAATTACCCCGGGCATCACCCGGCCACCTGAGTTCGATTCCCCGACCCCGGGGTTTATAATCGGTGGTGAGTGAAAAATTCGCACCGGGTTTAATGCCGCGGCGGCTAGGAGATGTTAACTACCTCGCCTGGTATACAGGAGGTCGTGGGTTCGATCTCGACCATGACGATGCCTGCTGTATATTTGGAATTTGCATCTCTCTTTCTATCATCACGGTGGCTAGGAGATGTTAACTACCTCGCCTGGTATACAGGAGGTCGTGGGTTCGATCTCGATCATGACGCCTGCTGCTGTATATTTGGAGTTTGCGTGTCTCTCTCTCTCATCATCATCACGGTGGCTATGAGATGTTAACTACCTCGCTTGGTATACAGGAGGCCGTGGGTTCGATCTCGATCATGACGCCTGCTGCTGTATATTTGGAGTTTGCGTGTCTCTCTCCCCCCGTGGTCGCGTGGATTTTCCTCCGGATCCTCCGGGTTCTCCCCTCCACATTTAGAATCAACGTCACGCGTTTAGGGTATTTGGCTGCTGTACATTTCCACGGAATACGCCGCTTCATTTGGACTGACGCTTGTTGAGAGCCAGGTCGCTTCTGAAGAAGAGCTCTGTGGATCTCAGTGGGCCCTTAGTGACCTCCACCTACACCAATCATCAGTGACCGGCGGGGTGAAGTATGGTTAAACGACTCCACCGATCGTGACACAGCACTGGGGAGGAAGACCAGCATGCAGCAGTGAATTTAGGAAGGAATATAGACGAGTCTATGCAGTCTCTACAATGAATGTGCCATGAATAATATCATTACCGGTATCGTTCATATTCAAGTGTGCTTTGATTAGAAATAGCCAAAATCTGGTCCAACACCATGTGAAACTAGGCTCTAAGGAAAGCTGTCTCGAGTGTGGACCAATCAACTTCAAGGACAGTGCATACATTATCAGAGTTATGTTTTTTGTTTGCATTACGACCGCAGGTATTGTGGTCTATGCAAACATGACTCCTTGTAAAAAGGTGTCAGTTTTGTTGCCAGATAAAGGAGTAAAAAAACAAGTATCATATTTTTTACAGGCAAATGAGGTTCCAATGGTGTAAATGCTTACCCCGAGCTCTCATACTCTGATGGTGCATTGTCTTTGAGTTGTGCGCCTTTTGGCGTCATCTGGTCCAACACCATGTGAGACTAGGCTCTAAGGAAAGCTGTCTCGGGTGTGGACCAATCAACTTCAAGGACAGTGCATACATTATCAGAGTTATGTTTTTTGTTTGCATTACGACCGCAGGTATTGTGGTCTATGCAAACATGACTCCTTGTAAAAATGTGTCAGTTTTGTTGCCAGATAAAACGGAAAAAAACAATTATCAAAATTTTTCCTTTAAAAGCACCCCGCATGGACACGACCCGCGTCACGCGGCCACGGTGAGAGGGCCTTGAGGGCAACTTCCCCGCGGACTTTGTGCCAAAGTTGCGGCGTCGTCGGTCGCGCAACCGAGACGGCGACACGAAAATAATCGCCGTCTCTCATTCATTTCATGGATTCGGTATATAACCCCGTGAGCCGTGCAGCTCTTGACTCGGGTGCAACCGCAACAAAACAAAAACATGAACAAGAAACATTTTTCGATTTAAAGCTTTCGTGACTGCAGGGATTCATCTTCTTGGTTATTTCGGTAAAGTCACGTAGACTTTACCGAAAGAACCAAGAAGAACAAGAAACATCTTAAAGTGACTACACGCAGCAGCAAAATCCTGGAAAAAACCGCAGCAAAGTCTTCCAGAAAAAAAAGATACTTGCGATGGACGCGTGCCCGTCGAAAGGCCGGTAGTTAATTATGCGCCGCGATAAAGTTTCGATGACACGCACAGCGCGGACACGAAAAGCCACCTCTGATGCTACAGGCACAAAAAAGGCGCCGTTCGTCGCCGTTATCGGCCATGCTCTATCCACTCAGCGGTCGGGAACCTATGGCTCGCGAGCCATATATGGCTCTTCCAGTGACGGCATATGGCTCCCAGACAATTTTTAGTTGAAAAAATAATTTAAAAAAATAAAAAATCAGTTTGGAACTGATTTAAAAATACTTGTGATATTACTTAATAATACTGTGTCATTTTAAAGTAAACAGAAATTAGTTTTGAAGATAAATTTCACGGGTCACGCCTGCACGAAGCTCAACCTCACCACGTCGTATGCACCAGACTACAAGGCCATCAGCAAAACCATGCAGCACCAGAAGTCGCATAAAAGTAAGACATATTTAATTTATTATACGTTAAAAATTACTATATGGCTCTCAATGAAATATATTTAGAAATATTTGGCTTTTATGGCTCTCCCAGTCAAAAAGGTTCCCGACCCCTGCTCTATCCACTGCTGCACGGACAAAAAGGTCGTGACCCCCCCCGACTGCCCGGGGTGGTGGTGGGGGGGGGGGGTATATTGCTGCACGGTGCCGGCACTTCAGAGTCACGTGCGGCTTGGGCTACGCATGGTGCGACAAGCGACGACTTCTGCGTGACGTCAATGGGACGACGGCAGCCACGTGACAGATGAATGGCGGTTGTCCCAAGTCGGTGCGCGTGCTTGTGTTTGTTTGTTTGTGTTTATTTTCTTGTTTTCATTTGTTTTTCTGGTTAGTTTGTTCTTTGTGTTCTTTGGGTCTTTCGGTAAAGTCACGTCGATAGAAAAAAACAATAACAATAAAGTAACAAAAATAAAAATGCAAATAAGGTGAATGAAATTTATTATTTTTATTCTTTCATTGTTATTATTTTTTCTATCTATACGTGGCTTTTTCCGAAAGACCCAAATAATATGAATTCCTGCGTTTTTTGTTTTGGTTTTTTGTTTGTTTGGTTTTAAAGTGTGGACCGCAAAAAAAAATTGCGACCTAATTGTAACGGTGCGAGCATTTGCGTCGTTTGAACTCCCAATTGTGTATTTTAATTCCCAATTGTGCATTCAGAAAGTTACTTCACTCGGATTCAACGAAGGCGGGGGAGGAGGAGGGTGGGGTAGTCAACATTCGTCTGCTCCGTGCTCCAGTGAATAATACTCACGACCAAAGACAGACAGAGAGAGACACACACACACACAGAGAGAGCCGTACACTGGATCCGCCTGCTGTTATTATTGACACCGCACGTGTGTGTGTGTGCGTGCGTTCAAGAGCATCGCGTGCAAATCTCTGATTCGAAGGGGAGGGAGGGAGGGGAGCATCCCACGAATGTGCGTGCTCGCGTGCGTTTGATCAAACGGGGGGTGAAGGCATGAAGAGAGTGGGAAAGCGCCCATCCCCCCGCGCTCGCCTCGCATCGAATGTATGGAGGCATCAACGCGGCGATGACTTGAGCACATATGAAGGCAGGGCGCTGTTGATCATAAAGGCCTTTGTTCAATTCCAGGAACGCGACGTGGGGTGAAACGCTTTGCCCCCTAATTCCCGCACGACAGAAGCCGCTTTCCATCGGAACGTATACAGTGCCGTGCGTGTGCGTGGTGCTGGCCACCCACCCCCTCGTGTGCCCGTGCCGGCCTTCATAGGTGCTCGCTAACAACACTTGCCCCAACGGTCTGTTACGGGCTACACGGGGGAATCTTTGTCTTGGTGTAGCGGTTAGTGCGCTGCGCTAGGAACCCGACGACCCAAGTTCGATTCCAGGCTCACGGCCACCGAAACAATCAGCGACGATTATTCGCACCGGTCCTGGGCCTCCCTAGGTTGACTCAGCCTTAAATTCGTACCTGGTGCGGTGTGTCGTGAAACATCGCCACTGGTGTTGGCCACCCACCCTCCTCGTGTCCGCAAGCTTCTCTGCGCTCCGAACCCGGTGACCCGAGTTTGATTCTGACGAATATCTTACCCGGTTCGGTGCTACCCCTGGGTCGATTCGGCTCTAAATGGGCACCCGACGAAGTGTTTATAAAACATCAGCACTGGGGAGACAAAGGCGGGCGGGCGTGGTGCTGGCCACCCACCCCCTCTCCTGCCATGCTGTGGCGGCCTTCATAGGTGCTCGCTAACAGCACTTGCCCCCACGGTCTACTGAGGCTATACGGGGGACCATTGCCTTTACGTGTGCGCATGCATACATACTTAAGCTTGGGCACATTTTACAGACACACAACAACAACAACAAGAACGCATTCGCTTCGTGGAGAGACGGGCGCATTTTACAGGAGACAAATTTTTGCCATGGGAAAGGTGGCGCAGTCGGTCAGCGGGCATTTCCACTTACGAATCCCGGCCAACTTGGGTTTGACCCCGGCCCATGGCCATCGGCAATCGTCAGCGGCGAGCGACGTCGGAACCGATCTTTGCACGCCGCACGAACACCACCTCGGAGGCAACCCGCGACGAACGACGCGGCGAGGTGCGGATCAAACAACGACTGCCACAACGGACGAGGAGGCCACGGTCTTCAAACCCCCAACAGTCGATTGGCTGGCAGGGCAACGTAAATGTTTGTAAATTAAATAAAGATAACGACGACGATGACGACGCAACGTGTTCGCTACCTGCGTGCACGCTCTCGATTACGCACTCGAAGCCGAGTTTTGCACGTCGGGATGAAAGTGGTTGGCTTACGTGCGGTGCGAAAGAAGTTCAACATACGATGCATCTTTAAAGCGCAGGACCAAATTGACGCGCTCTGCCCGGCGACCCTGTAATGTCGCACCGGGATTTAGAGTCGCAGGCTTCTTGGCGGACAGGGTGACGTGACACGCAAAACTCTCGATTGATCTCAACCGAGTCGTAAACTTCCGCACACTTTTAGACCGCAGCAGCATCAGCATGTCTCGTCGATTGGGATAAATTTGTTTTTTTCTAACGAGCTCTTCACGGTGGCAGCAGCAGCAGCAGCTACGTTCCGTTCCTCGGCTGTGTTTGCTCCCGTGCTGCCAGGGAGGAGTTTCGCGCTGCCAGATGCAAACGCGCACCACGCTCACCTCAATGTTCCTTGGCCTGCAGGGAGGCCCGCGATGTTGAACTTGGCTTTTGTCAACGCCGTGCAAGTTGGCTTTTTTTGCTTTTTTTTGTGCCTGTAGCATCAGAGGTGGCTTTTCGTGTCCGCGCTGTGCACGGTCATAGAAACTTTATAGCGCGGGCGTAATTAACTGCAGCCTTCCGACGGGCACGCATCCATCGCTAGTATGATGATTCGGAGCGATTTGCCAAACGCAGAAGGCTGTTGACTTCACAAAAAATATTCGCCGCGGTTATTTTGCACGTACAGCGTCGTTTCACCCGATGTAATTTAAACATGTCCTTTGGGCCTTGCGTGTCGCGCAAAAGGAGCCACTGTTTACCACAATTACAACGGGGAGGCTGGTCTATTAAACGGTTGTTCGCCGTTTGAAAACCACGGGTAATGTTCTAACCGCGATGCTATGGAAAGTATTTTATTTTTTTCTGTTCGTGCTTCCGTGAGCAACAACGGTCTTGCAAACCCTGTCGGCCGTGCCAACTATCCGCACAATGCGCCCCCCTCTGCCAAGCACGCCGTGTCTGCTGATATAAAGTTGGCCTTAAATGTCATCTGTTTATCTCTCTCGCACGCTTTGTGGCCCTGCGTCGCTTGCAGGTGAACTGTGGTCTCACGGAAGAAATGGGCCACCGCGGTGACGGGATGTTATTTTTATACTCTTAGGTTTTTTCGGTAAAGTCACGTAGGTATAAAAAAATGAAATTAAAATTAATAAAAATAAAATAATAAAAATCACGATTTGTATTCTTTATTTATATAACAATCACGATTTTTATTCTTTAATTTTGATTAATTTAAATTTCTTTTTTTTTACCTACGTGACTTTACCGAGAAAACTAATAGTATGAATCCTTGCAGTCACGAAAGCTTCAAATCTGGGATGTTATTTCCCTCACTGCGTACGCAGGATGTCGTCGGTTCGATCTCGACCCTGACGCCTGCCGCTGTATATCTGGAGGTTGCGCGTGTCTCTTTCTCTCCCCGTGGTCGCGTGGACTTTTCTCCGTGGTCCTTCAGTCCCCCCCACCACCACCACCACCCCCCACACACATTTAGAATCAACATCACGCGTTTTAGAGTATTTGGCTGCTGTACATTTCCACGTGACAGGCCACCTCGTTCAGCGATCATTTGTGGCCATGAAGCGGGCACTGAAGACACGTCCGGCATCAGGAAGCCATTGGAATCTTGCACTTTGAAATCAAGATTGAAAACTAATTTATTTACAACTGCCTTTTTTGTTCTAGATTTGAAGCTTTCGTGACTGCAAGGATTCATACTCTTAGAGTTTTTTCCGGTAAAGTCACGTAGGTAAAAAATAAATATTAAAAATATTACATAATAGAAGAAATAATAGAAATAAAATATTTTATTACTTTATTTCTATTATTTCTTCTATTATTTTATATTATTAATTTTTATTACTTATTTTTTTACCTACGTGACTTTACCGAAGAAACCTAAGAGTATGCCTTTTTTGTGTTCGGGTTGTTGTCCTTCCCCCCCCTGCACCTCCGATGAGCAACGGTCGGCTACGTACGGTGCAAAAGAAGTCCAACACACATGACCATACGTCGCGCATTTCACTTGGCATTCAATCCGCACGAAGCTGGCAGCCGCCGACATTCAAACCCAACATTCCTTCCAGGCGATGAGACACTTTCATCATCAGCTGGGAAAAGAATGTGCGGATTGAGAGAGAGTGCACTTCGGAAAGCGTTGCATCTGCTTCAAATACTAGGTAGCGGATAAAGGCGCAGCCCTGCAACTGCTCGGCTCGCGTCACTGCTGGCGGAAGGTCCCTCCACTCTAGAGGGAGCTCTAGAGAGTTCTCTCTAGTGCTGAGGGTGATTTGGCCTACTCTTCCACGATGGTCAGACGTCTTGGAAGCGGTGGAAGCACCTGCCGGGTGGATGACGTCTGCTGGAGACGCTTACTTCACACACGCAGATGGGTGGAACCAAACGGCGAAGGGAGATTTAAGAAACTTGCCACATTGTCTCAACCGCCGCGCCCGGAGATCGAAGCGGCAAGCTACGGAATTTCGAGTCATTGCATAGCCCCGTGGGACACTGGCACCCCCCTGGTGGCCATTAGCGCCCCCCCCCCTCGATAAGACACAAAGAGTGACACCCCCCCCCCCCATCATCATTATCATCGTCATGCTGCTGTCAAACCCCCAATGGTTTCACAACGTGTGGCGGCTCTCACACTCACGATGTCTTATCGGCGAAAGTGCCCGCCCGACACTGCTTTTGCACAGCGGCAACGTCAAGCAAAATTGAGACCGACTGTCAAACAAGTTTAAGTTCATTTGATTTAAATTTCGATTTAAATTTCGATTTTATTATGTTTTATTTTTATTATTTTATTACTTCCCTTCTGCGTGACTTTACCGAAAGAACCAAGAAGATTCATTTGATTTGTTACGCGTGATTGAGGTCCCCGTTTTAGCTATTAGCACTTTTTTTTTTACACGGGAGATCCGTGGTGCCGCGTGGCCACAGGCATCAGCAACAACACAAACAGAAAAGTTTTCTGGTCAGAAAACGAGTACGAGGATGATCCGAATGGAAATGGGGTTGCCGTGGTGGTGGGATGTTAACTCCCTCGCCTGAGTATGAAGGAGGTCGTGGGTTCGATTCTCGACTCTGATGCCTGCTGTATATTTGGAAGAAAGTTTTTTTTGGGCTCGATCGCGTAAATATATAAATGTGTCGTTAAACCCGCCACCACCCGACACAGCCAACTAGTAAGGTTTGTCACGTACACAACATGCCAATTCCTTACTAGTTCACCACACCGGTGTGTTGGAGAGCAAATCCACAACATTTACAACCTGAGTACGACGTTTCACCGATAATTACAACTAGCTGCATCAGGCGACAGCCTATCTTAACCCTATACTATAACTGATATTGATCGTGAAAGCCTACGTGTTAAAGTGCATAATTTGAGTTTGTGTGTCTCTCTACCCGTGGTCGGTTTTGTCCCCCCTGCACATTCAGAATCGTTGTGCGTTCAGAGCATTTTGCTGCGATGAATTTAACTCGCTGAGCTATCATTTGCGGCGTATGTGGCTTATGAAAAAGAAGAGAGATACAGCTCAGTGGGTCTGACCTGATGAAGTAAAACAAATGTAGTTTAGTTAATATCACAGGAAAGTGCAGCCGCGTTGTAAAAAGAGGCAAAGACGTGAACAGCGGTGTGTGTTAAATTTCGATTTATTGCTTTCGTGACTGCAGGAATTCATCTTCTTGGTTCTTTCGGTAAAGTCACGTAGAAGGGAAGTAATAAAATAATAAAAATAAAACATAATAAATGTTCTTCACCTGAGGACGGCTGCTTGTGTTGTGGCCGAAACGTCGTGAGAATTATTTAATTATGTTTTATTTTTATTATTTTATTACTTCCCTTCTACATGACTTTACCGAAAGAACCAAGAAGATGAGCGGTGTGTGTGTGTGTGTGTCCGTGGAGAGACTGACTCCTGCGACAGGAACGTAAATAACAAAACAACACTTGAGCCGGCTGGCTCATCAAGGCTGCCACATCGATAGAGAGCACGACTCAGTGAGCGTGATGATCGTTGTCGTCGTCGTTGTTGTTAATAAATCGTCACACACGGGAAACGGTAATGGCACTTTCATGCAAATCCAACTAGCAACAATAACAACAATATCATCAACTAACAAATACCCACAGCGCATTCGTCAACCTAAAATTTGTGGTCTTCAAAGACGGAACAAATATACAATCGGAAACACTGCGGCTAATGGCCCTTATTCATACATGCTATGAAAAAAATTACCGTTGCCGATTATATATTCTAATATATTAATATATGTTAATATTTTTTTTGATAAGATGCGGCCTTATGTCTCAGAGGGGATGAAGAGGATTAAGTAACTTAACTATTCTTACAATAAAGACAAAGATCCCCCATATAGCCTTAACACACTGTTGGGGCAAGTGTGGTTAGCGAGTAGCACCTATGAAGGCCGGCACGGCACACGAGTGGGTGGGTGGCCAGCACCACGCCCGACCGCCTTTGTCTCCCCCGTGGCGATGTTTTTACGCACCGCACCAGGTACTCAGTCGAGGCTGAGTCGACCTAGGGGAGGCCCAGTAACCGGTTCAGACAATCGTCACCGGTGTTGGCCGTGAGCGGCAAATCGAACTCGGGCCGCCGGATTCGTAGCGCAGCGCGCTGACCGCTACACCACCGCTCCCCACACAGACACAAAAAAAGACAAAGATCCCCCATATAGCCTTAACAGACTGTAGGGGCAAGTGCTGTTAGCGAGCACCTATAAACGCCGGAACGGCACACGAGGGGGTGGGTGGCCAGGACCACGCCCGACCGCCTTTGTCTCCCTAGTGGCGATGTTTACACACCACACCAGGTACTCATTTGAGGCTGAGTCGACCTCAGAGCCAGCGCAGCCGTCCAATTAGATAGCGCGACCCCGTGCAGAAAGCACGAAAACCTTGGGTCTGTTGACAAGACTCGCAAACAGATGGCATCTCCATCTCCTCCTCCTCCCTCCCTCCCTCTTGCGGTGCCCTCGCCTCTGAGAAGCCCCGAAAGCTGGCAACAAGGGAGGGCAGAGGGCCCCCTTCCCCTTTGCTGCCTGCTGGCCAGTTGGCCAGGAAGCAGCAGCAACGCCGCTTAGAGAAGCAAGCAACCCTGGATTGGTCGGGGGGTGGGGCGTTGTGTGGGCATCACCACCACCACCAATCATCACCACCACCAATCATCACCACCACCACCACCAATCATCACCACCACCAATCATCACCACCACCACCAAACCACCACCACCAATCATCACCACCACCACCAATCATCACCACCACCACCACCAATCATCACCACCACCAATCATCACCACCACCACCACCAATCATCATCACCACCATCACCACCAATCATCACCACCACCAATCATCACCACCACCACCACCACCAATCATCATCATCACCACCATCAGTCGCCTTACGCGGGGCTCACACAAATGGGCGATGAACCCATTTCGACCGCCGCCGCCGCCGCTGCAGGCGGAGACAACGCAAACCACCCCCGAGGTCCACATCGCCGCACAGACGTTTTGTTACTTTGAAAATTGGGACAAAAGTTGACTTATTTATTCTCTCCGCCGCCCCCCCCCCCGCTCACCCTCGCCGCCCCCGCCGCACTCCCCGTCTCTCTCTCTCTCTCGTTTTTTTTTACAAACATTCTTGAACAACAAGGGTCGCGGGATGTACTGCCAATTGAACCAAATCTTTAATTACTTAGGAATGATGGGGGGGGG